GACTTTTGTTGCATGGAAAACAACCTGCAGTACATTTCACTAGAAATTTATAAAACCTGTTTTCAGGAATTATGATTTTAACAGAAATTTAGAGCTACAGAAAATTTAGAGCTACAAAAATATAGAGAAAGATAATTTCTCAGCAAAGGAAAGAAAAAAAAGCAAAAACCAAAAAAAGCTTTAATTAAACACTTTTAGAGTTACAAGGTGGAAATCAGGCAAGGCAGCACACACCTGCGATCCCAACTACTTGTCATGTTGAAACAGAGGGAACGTATTTCCAAGCTAGTCCAAGCAAATATAGCAAGACTCTATCTCCAAAACAAAATGGGATAGAGGAGGAAATGATTAAAGGGATGGCATTAAGATATACTGTATTCACAAACTGATAAGTAGAATTTAAACCACTTTGTACAACTACTTAAATAGTTAACAACAACAAATGTAAAAAGAGGCTGAGTTGATGTGGTTCAAGTGAATTAATAATAAAATTTTAACTAATAAATATGTCTTTTCCCTTCCACTCACATCCTCTGTTCCCTCCTTCCCTTCTCCTCCTTTCTCTCTTTTCCACACTCTTTTTCTTCTGTTTAGTAACAGTAGTAGCATTTTGAATTCAGGGCTTTAAGCTTGCTAGCTAAGTGTTGTACCACTTGAGCTCCACTCTCATTCCAAAAGCAATATTTTATAGTACAATATATATCATTTATGAAGTTCCATTTTTATTTCTAATAACCTAACTCAATTCTTATGCATTGCAATTGAAAATATAACTGTAAGTATATATGTGTATTTGGCAAATATATATATAACTATACCACACTTTTTCTTCCTAAAAATTAATAATTTTTAAAAATGAATATTTGTTCTTCAGTTTCTATTTAGTATTTAAACCACCAAAATCTCACTTGAAGTAAGAGTAGTTTTCTGAAGTATTCTGATAAGAGAAACAACAACCTAAAATTCTCATATTCCATGACATGTTTTATTCCTTATCTTACTGAGCCAACTCTACTGCAATTATAAAGAACCCAATCCTTGGTCTTCCATTAGATAACTTCATTGTGTCTTGCTCCCTTTACTTGAACTTTTATTTGTAACTTCCATCACCTGTTATTCCTTTCCTTCTCATTCAATAAGCATTAGTTCTCCCATTTAATCTGTCATTATTTAATTGATTTACATGGTCTCATCATTTTTTTTTGTTTTTTGCTTTAACTGATGGTTTCCTGCTACCTTTTGTAGCAAACTAAGTTCCCAGATAAGAGATCTGGATCCATATGTGCAGCAGCTCATTAGACCTATTTACTTGAGTACTCCGTGGAGGACTTTACAGCATGCACCAAAATAACTTCATGTATATCACCTTACGTTTCCAAACTTATCCTTCTTCTATTCTAACCATAATATTGACTATATAAATTTCTATTCAGACATCTAAGCTATGGAACATAAGTTATTCTTTAATTCTCTCCTTCACTATCCATAATTACATTAGTACTGTTTGGACAGAATTTTGTTAACTTCTTTAATATTCCTTGGTTCTATCCAAATCACTGTAACAATCACCACTTACAATGATTCTTTCATTTTTAGAAAACTTGAATAACTAGCTAGAATATAAATAAGCAATCTCACTGTGTCCAATTTTCTTTCCTTAAGCTATCTCCTCCCAATCCATTGTCTGTACTTAGCAAAAAACATTTACTAATCAGAAATGATCTGGACACAAAACAACAGATATCAAAGGAAAAGGGCACAATAGGAAAATTCAGTGGATTTACCTATTCCACATCTGAATATAACTGATTAGAAATGTTAGCAACATTTATCTATATTCTGCCACCAACAAAAATGACACTGTGGAATTGGGGAAGCATTATAAATCCAATGTCCATGAGAATAAGACAGAATAAGCTGGGTGACATAACTCATGCCTAACTGTTCAGGAAGCTATAATCTAAGGACTGCAATTCAGAAGCAGACTAAGAAGAAAAACCCTTGAGCCTCTTAATCTCTAATTAACCAGCAAAAAGTTGGAAGTGGAGGTGTTTCATGTAGAGAGAGCCAGCAATGAGTGAAAAAGCTAGGTGTTCAAACCTCAGTACTGGCACAAAATAATAAAAGAATAAGACAAGGTATAACAGAAAATAAGATTTACCAAAACTTTTTAAAATCAGAAGTGACTTAGGAAAAGAAAGGCAAATTATTTTTAAAAGTATCTCAATATGCAAGTATAGCTGAAAAAGAATGCAAGAGTGATATTATAACCAGGAATGCCACTTTAAAAACTGGTAAAAACAAGTAAACAGTTCTTTATCTATGTACAAGTAAAACAAAGAGTAAATAACTCAACATATATATACCAAATGGTTACACTAAAATTATAAACCCAATTTATAAAAATGATAAATTATATACTTTCCTAAATTCATTAATATACTTCCCCAAAAATGTAACTATTTAAAGCAAAAGATTAAAGAAAGCCAGAATTTCAAGATAAACAAATGTACTTCAGGATGGGTAGGATTGAACATCCATGTTCACAACGAAGGCTAACTGAAGATAAAGCCCAGAGCCGACTCAAAATAAAGACATTATCAGCCCTGCACTATTGGCTTGTGCTTTGAATCCTAGATAGTTAGGAGGCAGTCTTTAAAGGCCATGTAGGCAGAAAAGTTGCTAGGTTCCATCTCCAAAATAACCAGCAAAAAGCAAGACTGGAGGCATATCTCAATTGGCAGAACATCAGCCTAGGAAGCTCACAAGGCCTTTAGTTCAAATACCAGCAAGACAAAAAATAAAATAAGTAAAAAAAAATACATCATCAAATGAATAAAATTGAGAGTTCCTAATATCTGACCATCAGAAAAAAATCAATTTTAAATGATCTGAAAAGGAAGAAGTGTTACAAAAAGGAAAGATTAGCGAAACCTTAGTACAGAGGCCAGCAAAAAGGATGTAGGGCCAAATTTTTACTTCTATCAGATTTTGTAAATAAAATTTCATTGGAACATCATGCTGATTCATTAACATATTGTCTATAGATGCTTTGGGACTATGAAACACAGTTGAACACCTTCAAAAGAAATCATATAACTGATGTAAACAATATATTAATCATCTCAATCATTACTAAAAATTTCCTAATCTCTGCAAAATACATGCCAATCTAAACAATTATATCAGTATAAAATAAAAATGACATCTTAATAAGTTTTTTTTAAGTTAAAAGATGACAATAATCTGTAAATTTGGAAATGAAGATTAAAGTGCTTGAAGATTTGCATATTGTTCAAGAAGAGGGTAATCAGTATGTCACATAATTTAACAAATTGACTATGTACCTTTATATTTCTAGAACTGTATTTGACCTGATGAAGGCATATTGGTTTTGAAGATCAAAAAAATGAGCAATAATGAAGGGATACTTTGAGTAAGAGAAATAAGAAATAATAAGAAAGTAAAAAAGACAAAGATGTTTGGGAGATGAAAATGTTCTAAAAAATCTACAATGAACAGGACTGTATAAACCTGTGGACATTCTAAAGATCACTAAACTGTTTCCTATAAAAAGAATTTTATGACATATAAATTGTAGCTTAAGAAAATCATTATTTGACTATTAGTGGATTTGATTTTTAATGCCTTTTTTTAGTTTTACAAAAATTATCAATCTTAAAAAAAAGCATAGCCAGATGTCGGTGGCTCACATCTGTAATCCTAGCTAATCAGAAGGCTGAGATCTAAGGATGGTGGTTTGAAGGCAGCCTGGGAGGAAAGTCCTTGTGAGACTCTATCTCCAACTAAATACTAAAAAACTGGAAATGGAGCTGTGGATCAAAGTGGTAGAGTGTTATCCTTGAACAAAAATGCTCATGGATAGCTCCCGGGCTCTGAGTTCAAGCCCCCCATGACTAAAAACACAACAAAAAATAGCATGCCATAATTCATTTTATGAGGATAAAATAACCTTGATATGTAACACAATAGCTGCTACAATAAAGAACTTCTAATAACCAAAAGCAAATAGGAAAGAATATCAAAGACGCTAAAGAAAGGATCCCTGAATTAAGACTATGTGAGAACTTCTTAAGTTTCCTCTAATATTTAGAATTCCATTATTTTTATCATAATGGTATTCAAAATATTAAAGACCAATATTAACATCTGGTAGCTTCCAGTTTTAAAAAAAACTAATTTTAATGGAAATGTCAGTACAGAAAAAGAGAAATCAACATCAAAGTTGGAGTCAAACATTTAAATCTATCTGCTGTTCTGTTATTTAGCAATCTAAATAAAAGAAATCATACACTTACATCCAAATAATATGAACAAGGTGTTGACCTATTTAGCACTGTCAAAAATGTGAGGCTTGTTATTAAAATATAGATTCACATTACTTACGTTGTGACTTAAAACTTTTCTAGGTTCACAGTTTGTTTGAAAAGAGTATGTCAGAGTTCAAAAGGGAATGAATTCGCAACTGAAAACCACCTCAATATAAGAAATTAAATACATATTGGGAAAAGAATCATAGCTATAATTTTTGACAATTATTTACTTTGTATAAATAAGAAATCTAAAAATATATTATGCTTGAGGTAAATAATATATTCCATTATTCTAGTATTTATATGTTATTTATATGTAATATAATTCATAAGTCAATTGGCTTCAATTAAGATCAAACTACTTACCATTTCCTATTTCAGTATAATGAAATCAATTTTCTTTCAAATTAATTTTTTCTTACATTTTAGTGATTATATTATACTGCAGATAATACCAAATAATATACATTCATTTAGGTGAATTAAAAGGTATGAATGACTACAATTTAAAGGTATGAATAACATTAAATTATACCAGTTCAGTTATTTGTCCATAGAAATCTTTCAATGAGTTGACTTAACATGTGCACTAGAACATTAAAAAAACTAAAAATATCAGTTAAAAGTAATAGTCACAAGAAGAGTTTTTTTTTTTTTTTAATGTACCTTCTTCAAGGATGGGCCGTGGGATAACAAAAGGGATTTCCTGCAGAGGTTCCATATATTTGTGACCAGCACTAATAACTTTTATTTGAGGTAGACAGAGGATAAGTGTTCCTGGCATGCTGCACTGGCCATGGTACCAACTTCTTACTGTTCCAGGAATGTCACCAGATACAATTGTACTTGGGGAAGGCAGACTATCATTTGGAATGAACACACAACAAGATTGTAATTCAAGCTAGAAAAGAGAAAGAGAATTAAAATATTTGGATCAGACTAAACACATATTTGAAAACCTTGACTATTCATCATAATAAACATTCAAGCCAAGAATGAAAACATATCCTATGTATGACTTTATAACCTTCTCTACTAAGAAACCTAATAAACCTTTAAAAATATTTTTTACTATCCCATTTTTAAATATTTTTATTTTCTTTCAGCAGTTGTACAAAGGAGTTGCCATTCAATAGAGCAGTTTATGAATACAGTATTTCCTGATCAGTGTCACTCCTTTTAACATTCTCACCCACCCTCCCACCGTTTCTCTCTTTTCTTAATTTTTGGGTTTTGTATTGAATTGTTTTGCCATTTAACACAGCAATTATGTATACAATGCATCTTGATCTGTGTCATCCCTTCAATATCTACATCCCCCTTTCACCCATTCCTTCCATTGTTTTCCACAATTCTGTGGCATATACATTCTTGCCTCATTCTGCTCATTTCTCCCTTTCATTCTTTCACCCTGTTCCCCTTGCCCCCACCACTTGCAAGTATCCAAGTCCTAGAACTTATTTTGTTGGGCTTTGACTTAGTCTTTCTAAAGAATTACACTATTTGTGTTCCCCACAGAGTCTATTGTACTTCAGTTAATTCATTTACAACCCACTGTGCTTACTTCTAGGTTTATAAGCACATTCTAGCTCCAACAAATGAGTGATACCATGCATGTGTTTCTCTAGGTCTAGCTTACTTTACTTAAGATACTTTTTTTCCAAGTCTCTCCATTTCCTTATGAATGGTACAATATCATTGTTTCTGATGGATTAGTAGAACTTCATCATATATATATATACCACATTTTCTTGATTCATTTGTCCATTGAGGAGCATCTGAGTTGTTTCCATACCTTGGCTATGATAAATAATAATACTGCAATAAAAATGGCTGTGGTGGTGACTTTAGTGCATCCTTGTTTGTGCTCTATTGGATAAATGCCCAGAAGGGGAATTGCTCAGTAATAAGGTAGTTCTTTTTTTTTTTTTGAAGACCCTCATTACTGCTTTCCAGAGTGGTTGAACAAGCTTACATTCCCACCAATAGTTGTAACTGTTAGTTTTCTTGATAATGGCCAATCTAACTAGGGTGAGGTAGAATCTCAGTGTTGTTTTCAGTTGCATTTCCTTTTTGGCCAGAGATGTTGAACATTTCTAAGAAAAGATTTTTTTAATGCTGTAATCTTGATCAAAACCACTCACTGACAAAAGATGAAAATATATTTGCCATCCCATGGTTCTATCCAAAAAATATAATTAAGTTAAAAAATATGCTAGCAAAAACAGGTGAGAAAAAAATCTTTCTTTTACATTTTATTAAACTTTATTAAAATGGAACAGATAAGGCCTTACAACTGTTTACTTTTATTAAAAATGTTTTCTATATGAATTTTGCTCTGAAATATTTATTTTTAGATTTATAGAAAATACTTAACATGATACATTAGTTATGTTTGACGGCACAATTTAAAAGGAACAATACAGGCATATTCTCTATTGATTTAGACTAAAAGGTCAAAATATGAGTAATGCATTTAGTATTTCACATAGACAGTAATGCTGTGTTGAAAAATGTTCTAAAAAAATGTGAAGGGCGGGGCTGGGAAGGTGGCTCAGTGGTAGAGTGCTTGTCTTGCATGCCTGAGGCCCTGGGTTCGATTCCTCAGCACCAAATAAGCAAAAAGAAAAAGCCAGAAATGGCGCTGTGGCTCAAGTGGTAGAGTGCTATCCTTGAGCTGAAGAGCTGAGGAACAGTGCCCAGGACCAGAGTTTAGGCCCCACGACCGGATCCAAAAAAAAAAAAAATGTGAAGGGATAGTATGCTACATATGCAAATATGTGTATAGATACAGATATATCTTTAGATACAAATTTTAATTGTGCCAAATCTCCATTTCATAGTTAAGACACCTAAAATTTCACTAGTTCACACTGAATAAGGCATAAAGAATCATCAGTGAATGGGCCTGAGATGTGAAAACTCTGAAAGATAAAATTTCTAAAATATGATATATATTGGGAGGATTCCTTTAATGATAAGAATATATATAAAATCTAACCTATTCAACTATTCAAAATTATTATAAAGTTATATTTTATATATACTGAGCCTATCACATAAATCTTTTTACACTTTTTAAATAACTGTTAAACTGTATGTCTAAAATTGTGGTTTTAACATAAAAAATGTTGAGTGATTTATATTACAGAATATAAATCTGCAGCAGTAAATTTTGCATTAATGTAAGGATCTGACAATCCAAGGGGAAGAAAATGAAGTAATCTGCCAGTAAGACGTCCTGAAGCTGGGGGTCAGTTCATGTTCATGGAAACCATCTGGTTGGGACCCTCTGAACCACACCAAACACAAGTGATCTTTTAAAAAAATATCCTATTCATTAATGCATCACAGCTGCACTGAGTGTTACTTCATTTTTCCATGGCAACATCCTTTCTGTTTCAAGGATCTTGTTTCAGTTTTGGTAGCAACGTATTCTTTTGCCAATATTGAACACATTCATGTGTTAAAGTAAAGGGATTATTACAAATTCTTGAAATAGAACCACCTCTATCTGGATTCCTATTAGATCAAGGGCTACACATCTAAGTCTCATACACTGAGAATAAACCAATACAGTAAAAATTGTTTGACTGCAACTTAATTTTCTGAAGTTTCAAATGTATGTGTATTTTGAAAAATATATGTCATTGTTCTTCCTTGACCTTGGTTTTACTGACTTATGTGGCCTATAATTATGATTGCAACTCAGTTAAAAAGTAGAGATGTGTATGCTGGTGGATCATGCCTGTAATCCTAGCTTTTAAGGAGGTTGAGAACTGAGGACCAGGGTTCAAAAACAGCTCAAGCAGAAAATCTAGGAGACTTCCATCTCCAAATAACCAACAAAAAGTCAGAAATGGAGGTGTGGCTCAAGTAGTAGAGTGCCATCTTGAAGCAAAAAGATCCAAATGAGAGCACTAAGTCCTGATTTCATGCCCCAGTACTGAAACAGAGAAGGAGAAGAAGGAAGAGGGAGGAGGAGGAAGAAGATGAGAGGGAGGAGAAAGAGGAGGAAGAGAAGGAAGAGGAAAAGGAGGCTATGTTTAATTTATATATTAAGCTGAAAATCTTAGCAAGTGGCCATTATATCAAACACTTGATATATAAAAACTGCCATATTTTCACTTAATAACACTATCTCCTATTCTAAAATAACATGTTCTTATTTTTTACACTTGAAACTTTAGAGATAATCAGATTGCATAAAATTTCTACATAATGACTTTCCATATATGAATGCAGTAATCTTCATGAAAGCAAATTAAAAATAAAAGTGAAAGCTGAAAATTGTATTTCATTCATATTTTTCTTATTCATGTACTAAGCCAGAAGCTAGCAACAAAAACCTCCACAATCTTTCATGTGCAATGCCTAAGAACATATATTAATATTAATATCCTCACAGAACACTCACTAAGATATAAGCTCTATCAAATGAAATGCTGCCTGTTTATTTTCATTCTGTAGTATATGCTACAGTGTCTAGTATTTATTAGATATTCAATAAACAGTTAAATAAGTGAATATGATTTTTAGTTACAGGTATTAAAATAACTACTTCTAAAATACTGTTCAAAATTTTATCCCATCACACTGGGCATAGGGGAGCATACTTACATTCACAGTGCTTCAGAGGGAAGGATCCTGGGTTTGAAGCCACAGCAGGCTATGCACATATACATATACAATATATAAAGTGACATATATATATATATATATATATATACACACACACACACACACACACACACACCAAGCTTTAATCTATCCTAAACTATATAGCATAGCAATACCCTACATCACAAGCAACAGCAAAATGAAGTCATACCACCTAACTCTTCTAAAAGTAACTAAGCTAAGAAGTTCTGAAAAATAGGTTCTTATATGTGGGCATCACATATTTAGTTTTCTTACTTTTAGCTCCCAAGAGGCAATAATAATTTTGGATCTAATTTTGCAGCTTTTAAACTAAATGTACATATATCCAAGGAGAAAAACAATTTTTTTGTTTTCCTGCAGGTTACTGTGTTTGATTCTGAAATTTTCATAGTAAAAAAAAAATGAACAATTGGAACATCTTAGAAAGGAAACCAAGGTCCTTAACTGTATACTGTGGAGCCTTTACTCCAGTATGTAGATTATCTTAATCTGGGTAAGAAGGAATGTACAGGATCTTTCCACAAACGATAGAGGTCTAACAACAAAAAATAAAATATTCTAGATCTACCATAATTCCAGAAATTCATCCTCCTGCCCCTGAAAGTAAAAGCCTTCTGCAAATTAGGACTATGTCAAAGAAATAGTTCAAAACTTACCTGCAAATAGCTTGCTCCTATAGGATTTGGACCCCTTACTGTGAAGTAACTAAGCCCAGTTATGAGGTAACCCATAATCTGATTGATAATACCAAGTAAATGGGGTACCTAAAACAAAAAAACCTCTCAAAACTTAAATGATTATTTTCTTACACCCAAGAATTCCAGATTTAGGTAAGTCACTCATTCTATATACAAAAGTTCTTAAATTATGAGGCCTACAGATTATTTATTGAAACTGTTAGATATTGTTATATCCAAAGACAGTCTTATATTCACATTTCAAGAATAAAACCTATTTCTTTTTAGGCCTTACAATGAAAACAGAAACAGCTACATTCAACAAGCACTATAAAAAATGTTATTCCTGTAAGTCATTAGAAGATTTAAAATTAACCAGTTCCCCCTGGAAGGTACTTAGTATGAAACAAAACCATTTTCTATAGAGGGTAACTGTTTTCCTAACAATTACCATCTAAAATAGACAATAGACGGATCTAGGTTGCTATCTTTATAATAGCTATCAATCTACTATGTTGTTTTTGTAGAGGACAAGTATTTTCAGTATATTAAATCTTCATACTTCACATTTCCTTAATGTCTTATGAATCTAACTAGGTTATACTGAAAACACTACTTTTAAAGCACTGCTTTCATTAATTTCTCTTTTACTAAAAGAATAACTTGATGTCTTCTGGTTTTTTGTTAAATGAATTTTCCATGTCATTTCCCAACTAAAACCAATGGTTTTGGTTCTCTTGCTAGGGAAGGGTATTAGTAACTTTCAACTCAGAAGTAACTACAGAAAATATGTTATCCTTTAAAAGTATTGAAAAGATTTAAAAAGGGGACTGGGAAGGTGGCTCAGTGGTACAGTGCTTGCCTTGCATGCATGAGGCCCTGGGTTTGATTCCTCAGCACCACATCAGCAGAAAAGGCCAGAAGTGGCGCTATGGCTCAAGTGGTAGAGCACTAGCCTTGAGCTGAAAAGCGGGGGGGAAAGTGCCTAGCCCAGAGTTCAGGCTCCATGACCAGCAAAAAAAAAAAAAGATTAAAAAGGACACAAGGTCATCTAGGGGAGGAATGAAGTGGGATAGAGACAAGGAATTTAAAAGTAGCAAATATTAAGGAGTACAGACTGGACTGTAAAACCAGGAAGGAAGTTAAAAGTGACATACCCAAACAACAAGTCTGCCTTTTACCACACATACTTTTTTTTTTCTTTTGTTGGTCATGGGGCTTGAACTCTGGGTTTGGGCGCTGTCCCTGTGCTCTTTAGCTCAAGGCGAGCATGCTACCACTTGAGCCACAGCACCACTTCTGGTTTTCTGGTAGTTACTTAGAGGTAAGAGTCTCACAGATTTACCTGCCCAGGCTAGATTTGAACTGCGATCCTCATATTTCAGGCTCCTGAGTAGCTAGGATTACAGGCATGAGCCACCGGCGGGCAGCCACACATACTTAAAACATTAAGTTACAAGAAGAGGAGCCATAAAAGGTGCTAATTGCATCAGACTTCTTCTTTGAGATATATAAAGGTGTAAATTCGTTACAAAGAGTAAAAAGACCAAAGGAAGTATGTGAAAATCTGTTGTCTCTGTGTTCTGAGTAGGAACAAACATATTAATGTTTAGAATAGTAAACAGCATCCATAGGTAAGAGCTACCATTCTGAATCTTTACTCCCATTCTACATCAAGGGAAGTCTCACTCCTTCTTTTCTCCCCCATTTGTACCTACTTATATCTAAATAAATCCCTGACAAAACATTTAAAAAATGCATTCCACGGAGAAAGGCTAATAGAATAATTAACAAACTTGACTTGACAGACAGATGTGATTAACCAAAATTTAAATCTTCAAATAAAACTGCAATCATAAATGTTAACTACTAACTACATAATTATTTAAATGAAAGTAGGTAGAATGTTATGCATCTTCTTTACTAAATTATCCAGTTATTAGCTTTATATTTAATAATAAATATAAAAGACATTTATTTCTAGAGAATTACTAATGTAACATATAACTTGATGTTGGGTAGTATTGATTAGTTAGAAAACAGTTTATTGGTGACTTAATGGGCACAAACTATGGGTTAAGTCAGTGAAACCAAAGGAAACACATCAACTAGACACTGGAAAAACACAAGGAATAAGCAAAAAGATGGTTTCTATTTATTCTCTATTTATAAACTGTTCAAATTTATTCTGTTATGAATAGAAGAGTTTCTCATTCCTAAGAATATTCTGTTACAAATAGAAGACTTTCCTCATTCCTAAGAGTAATGACTTTTTCCTGATAAAGATTTTAGCAAAAGAAAAACTATGTGTAATAAAGCAAATAGATAGAAATGATTATCATAAAAAAACTGTGTTAAAGGGAACTGTAAAGAAGAAAGGTGAAGCAACCTAAGGAGTTATTAGAATAATATTAAAAGGCTGCCTTTTATTGGTGGGATTTAGGCAATGCTTATTAAAATGTATTGAGATTCTGCATCTAAAAGAAAGCTTATTTCACTTACAATTTTTAATATTTTCCTGCAAATCACATATTTTTTATTCCTGTTTATATTTAAATTAATCCTCCATTGTGTGTGTAGACAAATATGCACAAATAACGTGTGTTTGTATATTTGTGCACGCGATAGAGACAGACAAAAAATATGATCTGTTTAATTCATTGGTCCACATATTAATTAGATTGTTGGCTCCTCTGAAGTTTAATTTTTGAGCTGCTGAGACATTCTGGTTAATAATGCGTTCTTACATAAATAGCTGACAATAATTTTCTCTCATTCTGTAGGTACTCTCTTCATTCTAATTACTGTTTCTTTTCTTTGTAGAAGTATGTATTTTAAATGTTGATTCAATCCCACTTGTCAGTCTGTGCTCTTATTTGGTGAGCTATTAACAGTCCTACTTAGGAAGATATTGCCTGTGTCTACATATTTTATTTTTATGTTTCCTAAAGTTTTCCTAAGTAATTTCAAAATTTCAGATATTACATTAAGGTCATGGACCCATTTTAAATTTATTTTAGTACAGTATGAAGAATAAGGATGTAATTCATCTTCTGCATGTGAATATCCAGTTTTCCCAGCCTCATTTGTTCAAAAGGCTGTCTTGTAACTATTCTATTGTGTTCCAGTGGTTTATGTTTGGTTCTATGTCATGATGTTTTTGTTAGTATGCTCTATAACATAGTTTGACATAAGGTATTATGATACCTCCAGCACTGCTCTGTTTGCTATAAAGTACTTTTGCTATTTAAAGTCTTCTGTGCTTTTATAGATTATCTATAAATTTACTGTTATCACAGAAAAGGAATAAGCCCATCTTTACCATTTCACTAAATAAAGCTGTATCACACCATGTTACAGGCAACTGCTTTCTATGTAACCTTTAATGTTTAAAACACATAACATAGTATTTAAAAACATATTAAACATGTATTTAGAACTCCCCTATGACCCAGCAATCCCACTTTTGGGCATTTATCCAAATGCTTACAAACAAGACCACACTAAAGCTACCACCACAACTATGTTTATTGCAGCATTATTTACCATAGCTAAGATATGGAACCAACCCAGAT